ACCCCTCTTGGCTTTGTACCACTCCCAGGAACCCCTTCTAGGCCCTAAAACCCCAAATTGATGCTAGAATGCCTAAATACTTAAACGGAAAGCATAAAATGATTAATTTCTTGTAAAATACATATTTCATATGACATTAGGGTCCTAAAAGGTGCACAAGTCATTATTTGGAACAAAACGCTCAACCGACACTTTTACCCGATTCACCCGATTTATGTGAATTCAGGTGAGTTCATACCCCTTTAATGAACATTTCAAATGCTTTATATGTTTTAGGGGGGATACAAGTTGATTATACATGTTTATGGAAAGTTATACAAGACAATTATTCATGTTACGGAAATTAATCACATGTGATTCACTACCCGTAGTTCAAATCACATGTGAATTATCACTATGCCTTATAAGTAAATTATTTGTTTTCAAAACTATTTTGGATAAATAAACAAGAGTTTAAATGTTTCTTTTGGACAATACTTTTATTTAACAAATCTTCTTATAAAATGTAACCACACTGATATATATTTATATAAGTAAGACTTGAAGGACTTACGACGGATAGCTCGCCTTATTTCCTGTTCTTGTTTGATTGTCGGCTTAGGGTAGTGGTTATCCGTCCGACTGTCGTTGATTTCTTAGTTATATATCTTGTATATTAGTATGGATTATGAGTATTTCTTATTTCATTATATGCCTAAATCACTAACCTGACAAGAATTATACACACTAAGTTAACTATAATAGGTATAGTTAAGGCCTCTATTACTCGCTTTAACTACTACTCTACACCACTATAATACTCTCTATTATGAAACTATACACTAATAAGAGAATACAATACGAGTTATACAAAAGACTACTAGACTATAATACAAGAGAAAGTACTAATCATGAGATAACAAATTAACCCACTACGGGATACTCTATTCGCTACGCACACGCCCAAAGTTTTCCAATAGGAAGACGACGCTATATGTATAGATCTATATGGGGCAGACGCTATTCCATCCTGACTGTTAACTTCAGTCCGAGCCGCACAGGTCCAGGGATGCCTCTACTCCACTACATTGTGCATGACCGGGAAGGTCATGGGGTCCGCTATTACTCACACTATTGGTAACATACAAGAAATACACTATAACCGCACTAAAATACTAAACAAAAGGTAAAGTTAAAATCCCGGAGTAAACAAGTTTCTAATACTAAAGGAAGTTGCACTACTATTATTTACTTCAGGTATAACTTACCATATTGCATTACTTATTGGTGAGTCACTATTATACTTCCACGATAAATAGTTTTCAAAGATGAAAATGACATAGTTCTTAAAGGTTTGCACTTACTATACATTTCTGGAAAATATAGGATTTTCTAGGTTTTACTACTACTTATGATTGTAAAATTTAGCTTTTCATACTATCGGTTCTAATGCTTTTTATATAAGAACTCACACTAAACTCTTATGAACTCACCAGCTTTATGCTGATATTCTTTGCAAAATAACTTGTATCCTCAGGTCAAAGTTAGACAGGTACGAATGCAGCATTTTTGGAGAAGATGGAGCATGCAAGACCCATCTCTTATTTTTGGTTTACTTTTGGTGTTTGTTGAACATTACAAAACACACTTGTAAATACACTCACTATGTAAATGAAATATTTGTATGTTTCTTGCTTTTACTATTATGCAATTGTGATGATACCGTACACTACGTCCTCCACCCCGAAACGTATTCCGCCGTTATCGTTTTGGGGTGTGACAGCAAAAGTTATGAATTTTCTTAAAATTGGTTGTTCTACATGCGTCCGGTGCCACGTGGCAGCACCAGGCGAAGCCTTGGTGCCTACACAAGGTCACGACGCAAATCCCCCATGTACAACCTATAAATAGAAGACGCAAATCAATATTTTCTTCACACCTTTGTATCCAACTCTCCCCCAAACACCCCCAAACCCTATAAGCCTTTCCGAAGCATCTCCTAGGTGTTAGTAGCAAGCCTCGGAGCGCTGGAAAGCCCCAAGAAGAACAACTTTCGACTTAGAAGTTTTGCCCGCTCAGAACCCGGTTCCTCGGTAAACTCCCTTGTAAGTGAGTTATGCTTACCATTCTTTAAGTATAACTTATGTTTAAATTTATTATAATTATTATGAACCTAGAAACAAGATTTATCAGTGATTCAAAGTCATTATATTGATTGATCTACTTATGGGGATGATTCCTAAGCTGTGATTTAGTGAGGTGTTTAAGGTGTGATTTTCAAACAATATACTTCATATACCAAATGAACCCTACCTTCGATATGATCCTACATGGTTGTTCCTTAGTTGGTCGATCATGAAAGTAGACTTTGAGTTAATGATGAATCTATAATAATAATTAGTCACAATAAATAATAAACTAAATCTTAGTGATAATAATACTATGTTTTGTCAACGGAAAAGACAATTGTTAGAAGCGAAGTGCTACCCGAATTTCGATTCGTCAATTTAACAAGTAAGTGCATAGTTACTTTTATCTTACACATAGATATGAAGTATTTTAATATAAATTACATGTTATATGTTCCTATTATGTGTGTTCTTGATATATATGTTGGATAAACGATTTATACTTATTTTTCTTGATTTAAACTATATATGTTTTTTTACGTATAGACATGTTGGGTAAAGATGGGTAGATGAAATAAAATGAAGAGAGGCATCGATGTTTAAGCTGATCTAGTCATCCAGCGGAGTATAGATGATCACCACAGACTATTCTAGACAGTCCAGTGGAATGTTGGCATGCTAGCAACCTGTAGGTGTTTTTAAACTATGTATTCATCAGGTGTATTCCATCCCCCTCATGGTTACCTTACTGATATATATATATATATATATATATATATATATATATATATATATATATATATATATATATATATATATATTGTTGAGGAAATCCCTAAGCAGTATTGTCTTCCTGATGATAATCCTTGGGCTAGGTCCCTTGAATTGGGTGTTTTAGGGATAGAAATTGAGGATAATAGGAATGGGTAATTGGGTGGAATTGTTTGATGAAATTAAAGAGCATAATTACTATGGGTTGAAACCATATGTGCTCACCAGGCTCCCAAGCCCGACACATTCAATATCTTGTATTATAGGTGGTGGCAAATGAGCACAAGTGTGATGATCAGATGAGAGATTTATGGATTATAGACCGTTAGAATAACAGATGTTTCTAAGGTCTGTACCATTTTTACTTTTTCTTATGCATTGTACTGACGATGACATTCCAACATCTTTAATATAATGAAAATATATTTCTTCGGAAATGATTTGATAATATACTTATCATATTTTTGGGAACAAATTTCGCAATATTATTCTTAAAAAAGATACTCTGATTTTAAATAAAGCATAACTAAATTGGTCTTTTCCAACCATGAAATTGAGAATGCCACACGTTTGAGGATATCATGATTGATATATCCAGATGTTCCTACCATGTAGCCAAGCGTCCTCCAAATCATGTTGAGGGATTGGCAATTAACAATTGACTTTTTGACCAGTTTGAATTACTGTCAAACTTTAAGGAATTATGGTTTTGAATAAGGTTTCACATTTGTTTGGTGCTAGTTAGTTTGTGGGAGCAGTCATTGCAGTGACTGAGTGTTTTTCTATGTTTCATTGGGTCTTCAATTTCGGTGAGTTCTCCTCACTATATTACTTATTTCATAGTAGGGTGCATGCTAGACTAGTTGATGGCTGTTATGAGTATTTACTGAGTTGTTGATAACTCAAAGACTGCTAATAGTCTCAGGGTTGATGATAACCCATAGCTGTTATATTGACATAGGGGTATTCGTGCATTGGTTATAGTACTAAGATGTCGGTAGTTGCCTAGTTGAGTGCTCTAGGGGTTGTTTGTAGTCATGTAGGATAGCTTGAGAACTCTTGATCTAGGATTTCCTTCCTATTCCTTGTTTGGTTTTGGCTATAACATGGGATCACCTAGTGGTGATGTGGAGCACTCTTTGATGACCGGTGTGCGATAGTGAGATATTAGTCCGGTAATATGGTGTAGATGTTGCCTATGTTTATGATCTTATTTGTTGATTGTTATTATGTGATGCTGAGCTACTGATAGCTCCAGGGCATGTTGTTAGCCCATTGGGACTGCTAATATTCTCCAGGGTTGCTGATAACTCACAATGCATGTTGTTAGCCCATTGGGATTGCTGATAGTCCCTAGGGTTGCTCATAACTCTCAGGGCATGCTGTTTAGCCCAATGGGACTGTCGGTAGTCGTTAGGGTTGCAGTTGTGAATTAAATATTTTTCAGGTACTATTGGTGCTCGTGGGAAGATGAAGGCTGACTGTACACACACATCTATACAATGAGGATTCCACATTATTTACAGTACTATGATTTTCAAACAACTATATTTGGGACAAATGTGTTTTCGTAACTAGGATTCTATGAAAATGAAGATTTTATCTAATTTAAAAATGAAAAGTTTTCTTATGAAAATGGGACATTAGACAAAGATTGTTGGTTTTTATTATTATTATTATTATTATTATTATTATTATTATTATTATTATTATTATTTTATATATATATATATATATATATATATATATATATATATATATATATATATATATATATATATATTAATTCGTACCATTTTATTTCAATTTTTATACAATAATACATTAAGGTTTATGTACATTAATTAGTTATCTATAATAAAGTCATAAAATTATTAAGAAAATCTTTTATGTTTTTAGATTATTATTTTTTATATCAGTTTAATTAGATTTTAGTTTATTCTAGCAGTCTGCACATTTTTAAAAGACAAACAGTCTTTTTCTTCAGACTGCATGTGTTTGGTCCACATTTACTACTATAAACGTATGCAGATATGGTCCACAGACTGTAGATATTTTGTCTCAGAATAAACAAACAACACATTAGTTTCATATTTACACAACAAATTTCCATAGTGTAAATAAACTAAAAATGCTTCACATGTATGATTAAACTTAATTTCGCTGTAAATTATCTGTAACGTACATGTTTATGTTTCTGGTACATAGTTCTAACATACAACCCCGACAAGTTATAATACTTATTTATCAAAATGTTTTACTGTCCATCTATTCCATAATATTTTTCGTACACATCTTTGACATGGAAAAATTTAAATATTAGCGTGGTTCTAGTGTTGTCAACGTGATGTCATTGATAGATATTGGATTAGTCTGAAGCACACTTCCTTCGACAAAAAATGCAGGTTGTCTAGGTTGAGGTAATGTACCTTCTTTATCAAACATCAAAACCACATTTGGCATATTTGGTCTATCTTTTGCATAATGTTGTACGCATAAAAGACCGATATGTATCGACCGAAGTACTTCCGAGGGGACACATGAATCACGGATATCCACACCAAGCAGCTCCTCAGCCATACCTTTTTCAAAAAGTCTCCATGCCTAAAAAATGGAAAGAAACCTCAACAACAATCATTTCTAGGTAAACTTTTTTTTATTTTACTACAATAGTTTTAGGATTTGTTTTCTTTTATTCTGATTAAGGATTATTTGGATTAAAAGAATATCTTTAAATACTTGAGAAAATTATAGGAAAATAAAAGAAAAAAAAAATCATGAGAAATTTAATAAAGAAAGTAGTAGCTGAATGGGGAAAAATGACTATCACCATGAAGCATTATTCCGCAATAAGCAAAAACGAGTGTTAATAACTTATTGGAAATTGTATCATTATTGAGTCGATTAATTGAGCTAAAAGGAGCATATATTGCAGAACCTACATGTGCAAGAAGATTATCATTGTCCTTTTCATGAAAGAATCCCCTGTTTTTCTTCCCACTCACTATTTCCAGCACAAGAACTCCAAAACTGTAGACATCTGATTTTTCTGAGAAAGTCCCATCTACAGCATACTCTGGTGACAAGTAACCCCTGAAGGAAAAATATGAAGAATTAAACATATGACTTGAAGAAGTACAATATACAAAACGAATGTCTCATGTTTATTTTTTGGATTCTTACAAAGTTCCAACTATGTTATTTGTATTCGCTTCATTTTCATGTTCTCTAAACAACCTTGCTAGACCAAAGTCTGATATCTTTGGGTTCATGTCAACATCAAGCAAAATATTGCTTGCTTTGAGATCTCGATGAACAATTTTAAATCGTGAATCTTGGTGAAGATAGAGGAGTCCTCGAGCAATGCCATGAATGATGCGAAAACGATCTGACCAATCTAGTATTGAACTCTTTATTTTATCTGGCCAATGTAGATTATCATTATAACTTACCTTAAGAAAAACGGAGAAACATGTGTGTAGAAGCAGTTGTACCAAATATGAATAAGTCCAGACTTCGGTTAGGCATGTATTCATAGACGAGCATATTTTCATCTCCTTGTATGCAGTATCCAAAAAGCTTTACAAGATTTCGATGTTGAAGTTTACATATGAATTTAACTTCATTTTTGAATTCACCAAGACCTTGTCCTGAAGTTCGGGATAACCTTTTCACAGCTATTTCTCGTCCATCATCCAACACACCCTAAAAATTAAATGGCATTAAGATATTAAAAAAGAATTAAAATGTATTTTACAATTATAAATGATTAGCCATTGACGAAATAAATCACAAGAACTATAGTTAGTTAACTATGTTACCTTGAAAACCTGACCAAATCCACCTTCTCCGAGCTTCTTGTCATTCGCAAAAGCATTAGTAGATTTGGATATCTTAGTCAAGCTAAAAGACGATAACTCTGTATCGCCCTCTCGACTCTCCATGTTATACTCTTCGTCAATGGTTTGCATAACATCATCTGCAATTAGTAACAAACCAAGCTAATATAATTTAATGAATGATTCATATTTCAAATTATTATATCTTACACTTTTCCGACAAATAACCAAAATAATTAAAGAATTATACCTGGTATTTTCATATGGTATCTTTTATTCTTTCTCCAACCATACAAGATTGCTAAACTCAAGATCAACATACTAGATAAAATTGACACCACAACTATGATTCTTTTCCTCTTTTTGTCGGAACCAGGTTTGGAGGTAGATTCCGTGATTGATGGAACTGGTAGTAAAACAAGAACAAGTTAATGTTGTCTGATAATCCGAACTAACAATAACATGCATGTATGTATTAGGTTATGTTCAATAAGGAAATATGAATCAATTTTAATTCTTCAATAAAAAATACAAAGCACCAAAAAATAGGATATGTAACTAATGGAAATCTACACAATAAGATGCATATATGTATTAGGTTATGTTCAATAAGGAAAAAGGAATCAATTTTAATTCTTCAATAAAAAATACAAAGCACCAAAAAATAGGATATGTAACTAATGGCAATATGTAGATGACTATAACTAGAACCGAATATTCACAGTATCAACCATGAATACACCTAATTTTTTTAACAATCGTTTACCATTAAGTAATTAATCATTAGCATATAACACTTAATTTTTTTTGTTGGGACTTAACTACATAGTCACATTAAGTATTTTTTATTTTTTTGTACTTTACCACATAAGTTAAGGGGTATGGTCATTATTTGTCAAGCTACTCAAAATGTGACCCCACATACTACCACGACACAAACCTTTAGAAATTGTTACCAATCCACTTCATCTACACTTTTTTTTTTCTTTTTGATATTACGTTAAAGAGAAAACCATAATTTCAAAATCAAATAAATATTTTACTAATAAAAAAAATTACATAAGAAAACCGACCTTACAAACTAAAACTCCATAAAAGCTGAAAGATCAAAATTTAAACCTGCATTTATTAATAAATAAAGATAAAGATAGAAATTCAAGCGTACATATTAAAACCTATATAAGTATATAAAACTAGAATAAACTAATAATCGTATTTTTCGCGGACTTTTGTTGAAGTTTTAAAAATTTTGCTAGATTTTCCGGCTAGATCTCCGGTTGGGGCATTATGTTCAAAATTTTAAGGTCGGTAAGTATTATTTTTTAGCTAGGAACTTCCTACGATATTTCGAACTTTTTAAAAAAAAAATATAGATGTTTGTCTATTTTTCTGAAAGTAAGTCACTGGTCCTCTTTGTTGCCGATGATGATACCACCCTTTTATCTTTATCCCTTCCAGTTGGTCGACCAAAGATGACTTTCGGTGGACCTCCCCTCCCCTTCGGTGTGTCCGATGTAATCATTGAGGTTGAGACAAAAACCCACAATTGACGCGGATGTTCTAGGTCGTTTGTTTGAGTCAATGGTGGATTCTGAAAGCAATTCCAGACTAGGGACCCACTTTGGACCCTCATGACAAACTAGCCACTATTTTTGGTGATTGAACGATTTACCACTGTTGGTAAACGTTTTTTGTAGGGATGAGGTTGATAAAATATTCAAATCATTGCTTCCACTTTTGTGCAAATTTTTAAGATTTTCAAAAATGCCATTAAATTTGGTGCATTTTGCTTTTAGGGCACAACATTTTCAGTTGATCGTGTCGTACATCCAACATGTACCCTTTGCTATTTCCACGTGAAAGTTGTGTAAAAAACGATTTAAAAAACACTTACATGTTGCCATTTCTTTTGTCTTTCGATATAGATATCCAAGCTCTTGCTAAAATCGCTTCCTCTTTTTCGGTCCAATCTCGACTACCTTTTTAAACCATTCCTTTCATTTGTCTTCTTATTGGTGGTTGTTGAGTTTCTTGGACCATTTCGTCGTAGTCATATTCGACGTGTGAGAAAATGAGACTTGAGTTTGGAGTTAAGATTTTTGTAATTGAAAAGTTCGAGGTTGAGAAGGTAGTTGAAAAGTTTGGAATTGAGAATGATGGAATTGTCGTGGTGTAGGTTGTTGGAAGTAGTTTCTGGAGTATGGATGGTTGGTAAACAATGGTTGTCGGTAAATTGGGGATGTTAACATGTGCATGTAGCAACGAATATGTGTGTACGGATCATTTGGGTTATTTGGAGTATTTTGATTTTGATCCATAGTAAGTTAGTGAAAATTCGAGAGTATAGAAAAAAATGGAGGTATTCGTTGTAACGCCCATATTTCTTGCTAGGCACTTAGTAGAAAAATATGTATTACCATTGGTCGATAATGTAAATTTTAATGCAAATAAATAAATAAGAAATTTTCCTACATGTCACATGTTTACAAAAGATTATGTGTACAATTACTATGTGTATGTTATACGGCTAAATATTATGGTGATGTAATATTTGTATTAGATATGGTTATAAATGTTACAGAAAGCGATAAATAAAATATTATTTAGGATAAATGATCTTAACGAAAGTTTTAGTAATCGTAATTATGAACCCGTGAGTATAAAGAACACCTAAATCTGACTTCATATGAAGAAATTATGATTTTTTGAAGTTTCACGTTCCACCCAATACAACAATGTGTGTCATAAAATACAAAATGAAAATAGGTTTCCTATTAGCAAAAACAATGTAAACAAATGTTGGTTTCCTTGAGAATACAAATCCGTCCATATAAAGAACGTCGAGAGCGAAGCTCGTATGAAAAAGTTATGAATTCCGTAAAGTCGTCTACAATGTAATCGTTATAGACTGTAATATGACAATAGAATGCGAATTACTTGTTGAGATCTAAAGGAAAATTGGAGTACTCGTTGATACAAACTGATGATATAAATAACGTTAAAAACCGAGCTCGTATACAAAAGATATGATTTGTCGGATATTTTAGAAATTAGTAGTGTGTGGTGACATGGTGACACCTGAGCGTGCTATGTGGCACAATATGGTCGAGTCTCTCCTACTAACATGATAACATGGCCTAACAACAGAGTGATATGTGGCACCAAAAAGGACGAACTCATAGCCACGATGTGACATGCCTAGCTCCACAGTGCGATGCGCCCTTTCCGAACTACTATAAATAGAGCCATTTGCTTCATATTTTTTGGCACACATTTCTCTTAAATATGATTTCAAATTTTGAGCACTTAATCGACGCACTGAGACATTATAGAGTCCGTCGAAAAGTAGTATTCAGAGTCGAAGTTCTACCCGTGACATTCGAGCTTTTGCTAGAAAAACTTATAAGTTGAGTTATACTTATTAAGCTTTAATTGAAACTTATATTTATGTTCATTGTCTTCATTAGAACCTATAAAAAAGATTTATCAGTAATTTTAGTCAAAATACAGATCGATCTACTTACAGGAATGATGTTTAGGCTAGATCTTAGTGAGGTATTTCAAGTGGATTTTCCAAACAGTATACTCTGTATATCAAACAGATCTTACCTCCTATGTGATCTTTCCCAGTCATTCATTATTTGATAGAAATCGGTATTTCTTTGGATTATTGAGGAATCTAAAATGTTGTTATTATCTCGAATAATGCAAACAAAGACTAAGACTTAGTAATATTTGTATCTAGGTCTTTTAAATGGAAAATATAAGGTAGTAGGCGAAGCGCTAACTTAACCAAGAGACTTTCACCTATAATTAAGTGAGTGCATAGTTACTTTCAAAAGTGTAATCTTAATAAAAGTATTTACTGATTTAAAGATCAAATATATACTAAATGATTTTTACATGTGTTTTGTGTTGTATATATTTTTTTATGATGTATTGCATGAACATGAAACTATACTGGATCTCGATTGATTGTATTTTAATCTTGTTTTAGTTACATACTAAGGCTTCTAAATGATGCTTAGTTCGAAGTAAGTTGAATAAGTAAATAATTTTATTCAGGGTGATGTATGAGATTAAGTAGAGTGTAGTAGTCCTCCACTTTCTAGACAACCAAAAAAAGTGGGTATGTATAAGACAACTAGTTGTTATGTTCGCCTTATCTACTAGAGTAGGATGAGAACACTTAATTATTCTAGATGGTCTTGTTAAGTAATTTTTTAGTGTGGATTTATAACCCACGTAGGTGGATAAAATAGGATACCATATTTATCAAATACTCTAAACGTTGGTTGCCTTTAAATGACTGGTACTAGCCAAGGAATCCCCTAGTCCTGTAGTCAAGGTGATTATTCCAAGTGATCGTCAAGATAGGTCTGTGAGAATCGATTGGGTCGTGTATGTATAGGTAGAGATCTACATCTGATTATTTACTTATCTTGTCTGGTAATGTGTGTTTTGTAGAATTATTTTATAAGGTTGTTTATCATTGTAAATATTATGCGATCAAAAACCTTATGTGTCTAACCAGGTTTTTCAACCTGACCCACTAAATTTATAGGCATCATAGGTAGCGGCACTAAGTTTGTTGGGAACTCAATAGGATGCTGAGTAAAATAAGTGACAAGCCTGTAAAAGTATTTAGGACTATGTCTTTACTCTGTAAGCTATGTTGGATATTAATTAAGACATCCTTAGTGTTTTGGTATTTTTTGAAACATTATTTGTTATCTCAAAATGTTTTATTAAGTTAATATTTTCTGCAACAAAGATATCATGAAATTTTAAAGTGTAAAGAAAAAGTTTTAATTGGTTCTAAAAAATAGGTAAATATGGTTTGGTTTTTATTTTAAAAAATAATTAAAAAAATTATAGCCAATGAATTTCTCTCAATGGTCAAATTATTAACCAATTTCTCACAACCTATCAATATGTTTGTAATCATCTATGAATAGGGGCGATGCTAGGTATAAGCAAGGTGGGTCCTAGGACCTACCTAAGTTATTAATTTATCTAGAATTTATATGGAAAATTTTTATGACCTACCTCACCCATAAAATCTTTGAATTTGTATTGAAAATTCTCTATAGAAAAATTAGTGAATCACACGGTTTTTAATTCTAGATTCGCTACTTTCCATGAAGAGCTTCATTCCAAATAGACACCAATGCTCATTCGAGGTGATATTGATGCATAGAAGGAGGGTGTCATGTTAGATTCTATATGTCTCCATACCCCTTCTCCTAAGATTTTCCACATATAGTCTTAGAATGGCATCCCCGTTTTCCTTACAGGACGTGCTTTGTTGTATTTTAGG